TGAAATTTTCATTTTTATCCCATTATCGATATATCGGTGGTGTTTCTTTTCGCACCATGATCAACTTCAAATAAAATTTACTTAGCATGCTCAGTGTGACTAAAACCCAACTCAAATATTTTTTTCAGTTAAACCTCTTTTAGTTGCAATGTTCTCTTTTTGGTCGCATTTCCTATCTTTCGTTTCTACATATAAGCGTGTTTCGAGCACAATAATCGCATTATTAGGGCAAATTTCATGCATATTAATGACTAACGCAATTACTTAAAAAAAAAAATCCGGCGTTCTTTAACAGTTTTGGTTCTTTTTCGTTTCAAGGATTAAATGGAATAACGTCTTGAAGGTACTAAATTAAAGTAAAATGAAGCAGATGTAATTAACCGGGAAAATAAAGTTTGCACGTGCTCTTGTGATGATAGCTCTGAGTCAATTGCCTGACGTCGGCCGCCACTCTCATCCCCGGCGTCGGTCATTATTTAAAAGATTTCTTTGAAATCTTTCAGTTTGGGTAAAAGAGAATTTTTTAAATCTTCCTTACATTAAAAAAATTCTTTGAAAATGAATAAAATACCAAAACCCGTAGCATCAAAGATGTCAGTAAAATATTAATGGGATCTTGCATTAAGTGAATTTATAAATAAATTCCAAATACATTTCTGCCTACTGCCTTTTTTGCATTTGCGATGGTGGAAGAAAAAGGGTTAAGTGTAGCTTACAGAGTTCTGCATTTAAAGTTAACGTTTCTGAAATTGTAATTAGAGATACATATTATTTCAGTCGTCTGATTTAAACAACGAGTAAGTTTAAAATTATATATTTATAATTTAATTTAGTTCTAATTATACTCCATAATAAAAACATTATGACTGTAAAACTGAATGTTTTCTAAGTTTTACCTAACTTCATAAACCTTTCTAAGTTTCTAAGTTAAAAATAGCCTGATCACAACATAGTTATCCGTTAAAACGTATCATACGTTTTAGGGACATCAGGTATTCTTGGAAGCAGGCAAGATGAAAAATATGCTACACCTTCGCCGAGAATCGAACCACGGACCTCTGGAATACGCGCCCACCGTGCAGACCACCACACCACGAAGGCACGCTAAAAAGGAGGGAGAAATACTTATAAAGTTTCTGCTCGCCTGTCAATTAGAAAGCCGTTCTAGGTTTACACGCGTGGCTTTATTTTCACATGCTTTTCTTATGTGTTACAGACCTAATCTTAGTGCACGTTATAATTTTATTGCAGTAAAAAGGAGCATGGGTTAAATTCTGAAAATTCTAAAACTTTCAGTATCCTCAAATTTACTCAGTTTCGTGAAATACATTGTGGTCGAGGATTTACATTACTATTTCTGAGGGAAAGGCAGAGATATACACTAGAAATTAAATAATCGCATTCACATAATAACATGTGATTAAATAAAAATACATACCATACATTTTGCATTAGGAAGTCAAGTTTATAAACTGACAAATTTTATAAATGCATTCAACATCATTACTTTAGATAATGCTTGGATGGTGTTTATACATAGTATGCTGCATACTACCATTTTTTTTCAATGTTTGTAAAAAAGATAGTGCAGTATTGAAATTCTTTCCGGCGCTGATAGGCAACGAAATGTATAATTTTGTTCGTATTCTAGAAATAGAGTAAAACTTAAAAGTAATTCAATATTCGGTCTTCCAGGATGTATTTTGGAAGAGGATTATATTGCTGCGGAATTTATCGAAAATTTTGAAGTGAAAGTAGTACAGAAAGTTTTTTAATATAAAGTAATCTGACAATTATAGTAAAAAGTAAATTTTAAAAATAGAAAAAGAATGAATCTGAAAATTTTAGCTTTGTTAAATATTTGCGAGAAAATCTGATATTTGCGAAATTTTTCGAAATAATTTTAAATTGGAGAAATTAATCGCGGAAATTCGAGCCGGGATAAAATTTCTTCTCTAACAGCATTTAACTGAGAAGTCACCGTCAGCGTACACCAAATTTAAGATATCTTCTCCTAGTGAGATTACTTTTGCATGGTAGCTCTTCATATATTCATATTTTGTAATGTTAAAGTCGCATTCAATAGTTTCTACTTAAGCATGTTGTTTTTGATCAATAACTACTCTGGGCCTTCATGTATCTAGTAGTTGAGTGTAAAGTACATTAACACCAGTTTAGATAAAAAGATGGAAAAGATATTCTGGATGATGTATTTACAGTGTTCTTGTAAAGATTGTTTCAAGAAGATCGGGCGACTAAATATCGCTTGAATAGCGGGTGGCAAACATATAGTTCCAGTTTGAGAAATGAATTAATAATGTAGTTTCATACCACGATTAAAAAATCAAGTTACGAGGAATGCTTTTTATAAAAAATTATTTTTTTTTAAATTTATGAATTATTAAACAATTTCGTCTTGATACGATCAAAATTATCCGAGATATTAATAATAAAATTTCTGGACACGGCACATATTTTGCTAGAGACAGACATTTATAATCTAAATTTTTGAATGCACATGTCTAAAAAATTCTGTTAATTTAGAAAAAAAAAATAATTTAGACGTATTTATTTCATTATTTCACATCAGTAATTGTAAAGGTAAAATTCTATATTTTAAAATTTTGTAGCATATAATATTATACTGGTGCATTTTTTCTCCCTTTTCAATTGAAAATGATAAAAGTCATAAAATTTTATAATTATTTTCAAAGCAAATTTTGTATTTTTTAGCTTGCAGCTTTCTGAAAGGTTTCTAATAGGATAAAGAACCCTTTATTAAGTTACTTTCTGGAGCATACACATACAATTTAGTTTCGTCTGTTTCAATTAAAACGTGCATGTGACTTAAAATTGTACTAATCTGAAAGTTTATCTTGCTTGGGTCATTGCTAAACTTGAACTATTAGTCCACAATTAAATATTTAAGATTTGTTCAGCAGTGCAATCTTAAACATCCTGTATAAAGCTGCTTTTAAAGTACTACAAATATGAACAGAAACGTTTTTCTCACATTCTTTAAGTATTTCATTGAAGAAACTCGATATTAAAGCACATTATAAACGCATCATACGACATACGTCTAAAGGACGTATCACACATTGAAAATATTTCTCAAAAACAATATTATAAAACAATTTTTCTAATTTGTCACATGATATGTAACAGCCAATCACCACAGATCACTTTGAGGCTTCCAAGTAAAGGGGAAACCGGTTCTCCATTAAGATGGCGATAAAGGATTCGATGTTGACAGTTGATTGGTTTCAAACGAACAACTCTGCTTTTTTCTTTTTTGTCTTTTAAATTTTTTTGGGGGGTGAAGGGAAGAAAAAAGGTCGTATGTCTTTCTTTCAGTAAATATGAGAGAAAAATTGTTTTAAACAATTGTTCGTTCAGAAACAAACGTACGTGTGATAGCAATCTATAGCGTTTGGTGTACAGTCCAGTATGTCAAAGGCAACGTTGGACTAGGCTCGCACATGTACGTCGCTGTCCAGGGAAATGTCGAGAAGTGCTACGTAGCGGAGTAAACTCACGGGGAGCAATTAAGCGTAGTAATGTGTTATATTGCCACAGTGAAAATGAATAATGAATCACTTTAAAGTCCTGCCTTAAAGTAGCTATGTAATTGTATTACGTGGTCCGCTTGAGAGGGTTGAAAATTTTGGCCGTTCAGTTTTCGCCTCTATTAGATTTGCACCCTGTTGGAGGCAGGCGAGGCTAGTGGGAGATATTTTGTTTTCTCCGCCTTGTGGTAGCCTTGCAGTGTTTCATTGTGAATTTTACGATTTGAGCCAAGTTTTGGAAGCTGGAAGACCCACTTTCCGGGAGAAAAACAGGTTCATGGCTGACAAGATTGCTGGAACTGGGCGACTGTTCTTTTTCGTTCTTCGCCACGAGGCCGGGCATGGTGACCACTACTAATAAGGCGGAAGAAATACGTTATATACTCCTCGTTTTAAAGGAGACAGCGAATTAAGGGACCCAGTCGCCAAATTCTGCTGGTGGAGAATCATCATCCACCACCTTTTTTAGTTCGGAGGACACTGTAGAGTCATTAGATATTTTTCAAAGGAGGATAGAAGAAAAATAAGCAATGCCCTTGCCGGGACTCTAACCACGAACCTCTCGAATACGCGCCGGGCGTACTGACCACTATACCACGAATGCAAATTAAGAAGGCGGGAGAAATACCTTGCATAGTAATATAAAATTCTCCAGAAGACTGAGACGAAACCAACTGAGACGAAACCGAGAAGACGAATTACAACTCTTTCTCGCTGCCAAAATTCACCATAAGCAAAATAACAATAAAGCATTCGCTTTGCTCAAACTACAAGAAATATACTAGACCTGTTGCTATACCGAATGCCCTCACAAAAAGAGAAGTAGCTTAAAGATGGTAACGAAAGGCGTATGTTTTGCGGATGTGTGGCCTATCCAGGAATATGTAATTATCTTTTATTTTGTTCAGTTTCTGATATTAGCATTCGAATTTGTTCACCTAATGAGGGCATATAATTTGAAGCATCGTAAGGATAAGGATAAGGAACAGGGGACGTGGAACTATGCCTCTACCATACGGTTAATTAGTATAGCACCACGTCCACCATGATCTAGAGAACCCTTAAGGCAACACTAATTCAAATACATGAGTACATTATTAAAAATGAATGATTGATTACAAACAATTGTGGTATACCTTGGCAGTAAAATTGTTGCATTTGTGTAAATAACAAATTACGATAAAGACAAAGATGTAGTGAAAGTCTGTAAAGTGCTAACGATTAGTATTCCAGTTGTTGCCATTAAAAGAGGATACTTTCTGCTGTAATGGTCACTCCAGGGTCATTTATTCTGCTGCGCAGAGGTCCGTGCCGAGACTGGCTAGTTCTCCACAATTTTGATGAGCTGCCGGCAGAGGTGCTTCTGTTTGACCATGAGCTTACAGAATGCCTGTGTGTTTGTAGTGGGAATATGTATGTGCATCCCGTTGGTCAGAGAGCAGGTCGTGACGTAATGCTCCGGAGTACCCAGGTACCGCAGCTGCACTGGTTTGTGTCAGTCGTGCTGTGCCTGGCAAAGTATTCCGGGAAGGGTCCATGGCCTGTAACATAACGGACCAGGTGCGGGTTAGAGTAGAGCCTGGCTGGATTAACATACAAAAGATGATAATGATGATAATGAGTACGTCTGCCGGTCTCAGCAATGTTCCACTCAGCCTGCCACTTTGAGAGTGCTTGCAGATGGAGCATTCTTTTTAAGGTAGAATGTGGGCACGGTAATGCTAGCTGCTCGGCTTCCTTATTTAGGGCAGCGTCTTTCGCAAGGAGGTCTGCTGCCTCATTTCCCATATGGCCTGCATGGGCTTTCGTCCATGTCAGGCGGGCTTCCACATGTTTAAACTGTCGTAAGAGGCTTTGAATTTCCTGGACTATTGAGGAGGAGTGTGCCGGATTTTGCAAGGCTCTCAGAGCTGACATACTATCGGATACTATAACAGCTTTTCTGATGTTGTTGCTGGCAATATATTGTGCTGCTTTCTGGATAGCAACTGCCTCCCCTTGAAAGACGCTGTTGTTTCCATGAAGATGGCCCTTCCATTGCGTGACTTGCTCCTGGCCTTGAAACGTAACAAACGCGCATCCCACATTGTGGTCCATTTTGGAACCATCAGTGAAGATGAGGGTGTTGAACATTCTTCTGGCTGTCCGTCCATCTTTGAGCCGTCGGTGTAAGCATAAGTATTGTGCCTATGGGTCTCGAGAGACTGTTCTTTGATGCTGACGTTTATCCCTATGCATTGTTCGGCTGGGTGCTTCATAGTCATAGTCCGCAGGTACTTCATAGTCACTCGGCCAGTACGTATCCTCAAAAGATGCTGGCACACTGAGCTGTTTGATTTGCTGTAGAACTGCTTCCCGTTCCGTGCTGATGTGTAAGGGAACCAGTCCTGCTAGAACGTTCAGCGCATTTGTGGCCGTTGTGCGAAATGCCCTCGTTATATTAAGAGCGAACTGTCGTTGAATGCTGAGCAGGTGCCGGACCTTTCGGACCTGCATCGGCTGCGCCCACACGGCCGCACCATATGTTACCATTTTTTCTGTTACAGTCTGATACAGCATCTTATGTATATGGGGGTTAAGGCCCCATCTGTAACCCTGCATATGGCGCAAGTACTTAGCGATAGCCTGTGTGCGTTTCTTTAAATCTATTATATGAGGGATCCAGCTGAGTTTGTTATCGAAGATGAGTCCCAAATATTTAAGCTGAGGCACAATCTTTATCCGCTGGTTATTTAGCGTGATGTGCGGTTGACGCGAGAGTGAACCACCTTTTTTGGGGTACAGAACTATCTGCGATTTGCTCTCTGCTATGAGTAATTTATAAGTGTTGCATCTGGTGTTGAAGATGGAGCAGGTTTCGATGCAGTTAGCTTCGAGCTCCCTCCTGGTACGTACTTTTACGATAAAGGCCGCGTCATCTGCGTAGGCTATTACTTTAGTATGTGATGGCCACTGCTCTGCTATTATGCGATTAAAAGTAATGTTCCACAAGTGAGGGCCCGCGCACGAGCCCTGTGGGCATCCACTGGTTTGCCTCCTTTGTAGAATACGACCATTGTGCACTATGACCGTGCTCCTGTCTGATAAGTAGTGTCGGATAGTGCGGTAGAGGTTGGAGGGGCATCTGGCATCCGCTAATGCGTTTAGGACGGCGGACCACCACAACGTGTCGAAGGCACTTTTCAGGTCTAGACTGATGAATGCTGTGTGGTGGCCGCTTCCCTTTTTGAAAGTATTACATTCTTCACCTCTGCTAGCACATGGACTGCTGATTTGCCTGTTCTGAACCCAAACTGGTTGGGGCTTAGGTAGTCCGTATAATGGAGGAGATGCCGCAGCCTGTTCATTAAGAGCTTTTCATACACCTTTCCCAACGTGGACAACAGACAAATTGGCCTGTACGAGTCCGGGTTGGTGGGGTCTCTATTCTTCTTTAAAAAGAAAACCGCTTGGCCTACTTTAAAGCATCTTGGAAATGTGCCTGTGTCGTACAGGCTATTGAAGAGGGTCCTGAAGAATTCAATATTGGTGCGAATCCCCACTTTAATGATCTTATTGTTGACACCATCCGGACCCGGTGCGTTTTGGCGACGTAGCTGACGCAGCACTTGCTGAATCTCATGAGAGGTGAATTGCTGATCGTTAGGGTGGTGGGTATCCAGAGCTGTGTTCCGCAAGGAGTGATGTTCTGTTGTGTCCTCATCCTCATTATCTTCCGGGAAGACCGCATCCAGGATGTCATTTAAAGTGTGCACTGTGGGACTGTCGTTGTAATTTCCTGTTGCTGGTAAAAGATGGAAGTTGGTTGGCATGAACCTTTTTCCGGTGGCCAGCTTTGTGTGAATACCGTATGGGGCTGTACTGTCTGTACAGAAGGCTCTCCATGCGTTTACTTTTGCCTGAAGAATTATCCTTTTATAAAGTGCCCTTTCTCTTTGAAATGTTGTGAGAATAGTCGTCTCGGTGCCGTTGCTCCTCTGCCGTTCTCATTTGAGTCGACGTCGGAGGGCCCGGCATTTCTTCTGTTGAACTCTCAGTTCACTGGTCCACCAGCTCAGTGCTTGTAGTCTTTTAGTTGATCTCGCTGGAAGAGTTTACTCGCATGCATCCTGTATTGCGCTAACGACGTCTTCAGTGAGTTTGAATTATGTTAATTTTATTAACAGTTAAATTTTAAGTTCCTTTCCTGTCAAATTCTTAACTTCAACTTACTACTTCCGGCCAGAACGTACTTATGGAATCTTGCTGAATATTTAATGAGGCGGAACGGTATGTAAATCACGAAGTTACTTACTGAGTCAGAGAGAATCAGAGTTTCTGATTCACGCGCGTCTGCCTTTTTGGCCACTCTCTCTCTCAAAGCTATTAATACGCTCGGCCGTACTCAGGCCTTTGCTAAGCTTCGTAGCCAAACTTGATTTGAACCTTGATAGCTTCGGTTATACTTCTTTAGTTAATCTTAGTTTTAGTTTAATTCTTAATCTTTTAAGTTCAAGTCCAAGTGCGGGCTTTGTTTGTACACTCCCAGGCGGAGTTTTGTTAAATCTTATTGGAATAATAAAAGGTTAGTTACCCTTCTATCTTGTTGTTTCTTGTCACCGAACTCAAGCGATTATTTGCTTATCAGTTCTTAGATTCTTCACTTCCAACATTAACTTAGAATTCCGAAGTGAGGAACTCTACAGCATAAAATGGAAGTTATATTGGTATGCTATTGTTTTAAGTAACATACGATCACTGCATTTGAAGCTATTTTAATGATACGTACAAGTATATAATTTATCCTAAATATTTTTAATCAAACTCGTTTTTATTTATATATATATATAAACAAAAAAGCACAAAAGCAAGGAAAGAAAAGCAAGCATGAGTGTTTATACTAATGTTTTAGAAACCAATTTTCTTCTTAAGCGGCATTGAACACAAGGAAAAAAAGACACAATTCCATTTTCCTTTCTTCTCTTTATTAAAGATAATAGAATTCTTTTGCTACTTGAAGAATAATTCTAAAATTACTCTCATTACAGTCGAGTTGATCTAATTCATCACAGTTACCCCCACATCTGAGTTATTTGCATGAAGCCTTTCTGCACGAGTTTGCAATCTCTGCCGAAGTAACGTTCCGAGACCTCTGAATGCCGCTTGATGCGGAAGTTTCTCTTCTACTCTTTTGTTAGTAGTCGTCTTCTTTTGCAGGAATTTTAATTTTATTTGGATGGTTCCCTTTGAAATTTGTTCTTGCGAGCAGATCGAAGAAGTTAGATTAAATTTTTCTTTTTCTTTTTTTTTTTTTGAAGTGTGCTATTCCTTTTGCTTTAGCTTTCCAGGAGGATATTATGCGTTCTTTTGGAAGCTACCGCACTTAAGTTCATCGTCTTTTTCATGATAGCCAGTTTTTAGGAAACAAAAAGAGACTTTATCTGAAAGAAAAAAAAGCAGAATAAATTAAGCGCGGTTGCGGCTTTTCTTATTTCGGCTCTTCATGATAATAATGAACAATAAATGAAAGTTAAAGATGTAGCTTTTGTTTATAATGTTACAGCAAGTAATCATTCTTACGTATAAGTTTCAGATTTTTACCATGATGATCCTGATTTTATAACTAAATATTTGATAAAAAATTTAGCTTGTATTTTAGTTAATGAATAGTTTAAGCAAAATATTTAAAATATATAATAATAGTGTAATTCCACGGTTGAATTTATGATTACTTGCAACTGAATGGAATAATTTAAGATGGATTTCGATGCTGTAATTTTCTAAATGTTTGTTAATGCATTTTTTAAATTGCTATATTCTTTTGAATATAATTTTCTTCTTTCATCTTATTTAGGAAAACGAAGTTTTAGTTTTGATCTTGGAAATCTATAGCGGAGTCTTGGGAAAAGTTAGATCGCGTCATATTATACAACCAAGTATTTTCATAAACAAAAGATCCAACAAGAACTCGTACTACAGAAGATAACATGTATTTTATTCACTTAGTTAAAAAAGAAAAATTCCAATGCAGTACATAGATCTGGTTTAAAAAAAACTGAAAGAAAAGGAAAAAACACCCCACATTTTGAATATAATTAATTTAAATTCGAGGACTATCAGACATCTGTCTTTTTCAGGAGCAAACATTTCTTGTGAGGTTGAAAGCAAGTTAACGTCACATTTGTATTTAAAATAAAAGCAACCTTACTTCGATGGAGATTTTGTATAAAACTCTAACTATTTATTCAGTTATTATTTTCACTGAGTTTTATTCAGTATTTACTAAAATTGGTTTTATTTAAAATTCAGTCTATCTTTGCTTTTTAAGGTTGCCATATTTAATCTAATTTTTAAATTTCTTGTAATTAAAAAAATAGATTAAATATGGCATATAAATTTCTTGTAGCTTGCCATCTAACGCCATTTCGTGACATAAATTGCCATTTGAATTGGTACCTAATTACTTTCATTCTCAGAAGATAGAGAGGATTCTGCATTTCTTCTGATTTGATCTTTTGATTTTATGATTTAATCTGTGTGTGATAATTTATGTTTTTGAAATTCTAACTTAACTCTTTGTAATTTAGCGCTTTACAAGCACTGTTTTAATGCTGTATTTTGCTTCATTTTTGAAGCTTTGATATTTTAATCGTTTGCTCTTTTCTCTACTCTTTTGCGCATTCGGTTTCGAGACATATTTTGAAATTTTCTCATTTGTATGTTTAATATAACATAAAAGGATCATTTTTATAAGTTACGCTTGAAACGAGCTGTCACTTCATTGTAGGTTTGGTTTGGTTTAGTTTATTACGGCAAAGCACACTAGGGTTATCTGCCTAAGAGAAGGGTTCCCTTGATGGAGGGCTTTCTAAGGGAAACTTGCTCGTACACACGTTACACATGAGGAAACCACGGGAACTCCCATGTTGCCAGCCCGTTCGACTATATTCGAACCCAAGTCGGAGCTACCAGTGTTCAGCGATTTTACCGCTCGGCCGCTGGTGGGCCCATTTCATTACAGGAGAAGGACAAAAATATTTTGCTGCCGAAGAAGAAGGACCCTATGTCTAATCACAGTCGTAATCAAATGAATTTTATTCAAATATATGCCAATACACGATTATGTTTCGCTTAAATTCCAATTTTTTACGTGG